CCTCCAAGTAGGCTCACAAGTGGCTTATGGTCGGTCTCAAGCTCAAAGTGTAGCCCTAGAATAAAGTCACTGAATCTTTCACAGGCCCAGGTGAGCGCCAGCGCTTCTTTTTCCAGCTGGGCATAGCGCTGCTCTGTGGGGGTCAATGATCGTGAGGCATTTGCGACTGGTGACCACATGTCATTGTCTTTCTGTAGCAAAACTGCCCCCAACCCGTATGAAGAGGCATTCGCTGAGATCTTTTGGGGTTTGTTTGGGTCGTAAAGCTGCAGTACTGGAGCGGATGACAGTTCTTCTTTTACGGTAAACTGCTAAACACGTTTTGTTGCTCGTGCCCCCAATACCACGTTTTTAGTTGAAAGCAAGTCTCTCAGTGGTTTGTCTTTTTCGGAGAGGTTTGGGATGAATTTACCCAGCTGATTCACTATTCCTAAGAAGCTCCTAAGCTCACTCACGGTGCTTGGCTCTGTCATATTCTGCACTGCACTAGTTTTGTCAGGGTCAGGACTCATGCCTTCAGATGACACAATGAATCCCAAGAATTTCACTGCTCTTTTGCCAAACTCACATTTTGACATGTTCAGGGTGACGCCCACCTTCTCTGCACGGTCGAGGACAGCGTGGAGTCTCATGTCGTGCTCCTCTCTCGTGGATCCCCAGACCAGGATGTCGTCCATGTGGCATACGACTCCCGCGAGGCCGGCTGTCACTTCCGTCACCATCATGTTTTGGAAATGCTCTGGTGCACTGGAAATACCAAATGCCAAACGATTGAAATGGTATCTACCAAATGGCGTAATAAGTGTGGTGAGGAGAGCAGATTCTTTGGACAGCGGTATTTGCCAAAAACCCATGTTAGCATCAAGCTTGGAGAAATACTGCGCACCTGTGAGCATGCCTAGTGTTTGGTCAACAGAGGGGAGGATATATCTTTCACGACACACCGACTCATTTAATTGTGTCATGTCCACACAGATATGGACTTTCTCTTTGTCCTTTTTGGGGGCTACGACCATGCCGCAACACCAGTCTGTGGGCTCTTCCACACGACTGATTACTCCCAACTGTTCCATCCTTTCCAGCTCTGTTTTGACTTTGCCCAGTGGTGGCAGTGGAACACACCTTGGCACTTTCAGTGAATAAGGTTTAGCGTCGGGCTTCAGCTTAATCGTGTATGGTTTTTGAACAAGCCCGAGCCCATCACATAGTTTCGGGTACGCTTTCTTCACTGTCTCAAGGTCAACATTGTCTCAAGGTCAACATTGTCCATTCGGGCAATTAGTTTCAGTCTCACAGAAGCTGTCCTGCTTAAGAGAGCTACACGCAGATTTCTGACTACATAGATTGTCTCTGTAGTGCTCCTGTCACTGTAGGAAATGTCCTCCTTTGTAGACCCAAGTACGATCAGTGCTGCACCTCCTGGTCCATACAGTGGCTTTTCAGCTTTTTGCAAATGTTCATTTGGCTGCTTAATGTCTTTGAATGTCTCCTCTGAGATAGCTGTGACATCTGCCCCCGAGTTTAATTTAAATGTCATGCTTTTGCCTCTCATGCAGATGTTAGCAAGCCACGGGTCTTCTCCTGCCACCTCATGCACAGTTGTAGATCTACAAACTCTCCCGTAGTGTCCACGTTTTCCACAGTTGTGGCATTCTGCATTTTTGGCTGGGCGCTGCGCTGCTGGGTGCATCAGTGCTTTTCCACATTTAGAACATGTTTTATTCTCTTGTTTTGTTATTTGTGGTTTTTGTGGCTTGAACTGCTTTTGGTCTCTGCTTCTGAATTTATTTGGCTGTGATTTTCTGACATGCACGGCATGCACGGCTGTTTTGCCAGTGCTGCTTTCACCTATTAGGACAGTTTGCTGTCTTTTTATTTCCTCAGATTGTCTCGCCATTGTGATAGCTTTGGTTAGCGTCAAATCTTTGTTGAGCTGCATTCTCTCCGACAGTGATGAATCTTTAAGACCCACAACGAGCCTATCCCTCAAAAGTTCATCGTGGAGTTCACCATATTCACAGTTTTCAGCGAGAGCATATAGAGCTGTTATGAAGGAGTCAACTGTTTCCGCTGGCTGTTGTACTCGCTTATTAAACTTTGCTCTTTCATAAATCACATTCTTTCTGGGGACAAAATGTCTGTCAAATGCGTTTCTGACCGCATCGTACTGCTGGCGCTGCCCGTCTGTTAGGTCTAGTCCCCTTAGCACGTCGTCAGCCTCGTCTCCCATGCAGTATACTAATGTGTTCACTTGGTTAGCATCAGTTGAACCATTCAGATTACTTGCCATTCTGAAACGCTCGAAACGTCTGATCCACTTCTCCCATTCTTGGGGCTTTGCGAAGTCGAACGGTTCCGGTGGCTTGATGGTGAAGGTAGCCGCTGGTGGAGCTGCCGTAACCGGGCCAGGAGTCGCCGGTAGCGCTGCTGCTTGCTCCGTCATTTTCGTCGCTAGCCGTTCGCCAAGCTGACGGTTATTTTTTTCCACTGTCACGCCGCTTAGAGCGAGTGCACTTCTGACACCATGTTGTGTTGGGCTCTTGAATAAAACTCCCGCTCAAGCGATAACGTGGAGCAACAACAATCTTTCTTTAATATAGCTTACTCTCGTGCTGTTTTACATGCCACGTTTAGTGGGTAAGTACTGCCGCCTAGTGGTGCATGATGTACATCAATATAGATTACACAGAGAGAGAGAGCAAGCGAGCGATATTTTGGTTGGTCATAACTGCCATTAACAATATTAGACTAACAGCAGACTATTAAAAGACACAACATACAAAGAGGTAAACGTGCCAGGTTTTCACATAGCACATGTCTAAATAGAAGCACAGCGCTTCTAGATATTTTAGCCCTATAGTGGGAGCTGTCCCACTTTTGATCATGTCATCACAAGAGCCAAGGTGTAAACATGGGTGGGAATTTAAATCACTTACATGCTTTACCATCGAAAAGAAAAAAGAAAGTATATAAGAGTATATCAAGTCTATTAGCCAAAAACTTCTACCTTGTAATACCTGGCTCAAAATGACCTGATGATAACAAGATAGATCATTAATAAATCATGGGCTAACAAGGCATTTACAACATTTTAAATACTAGCAATCCCTCCCCTCCGTTTTTCCTTTGTGGCACAAACAGAGATAAATAGGAGGGGCATCCCATGAAAGCAGCCATTAGTGTATCAAACTCTTGAGAAATGAGGACAGTGGCTGTGTCCAAATTCAGGGGTAGCATGCTTTGAAGGACCTGGCCTACCAGGTTCAGATGGGGCGGATCGTTCGAAGGCTGGTTAGGGCGGAAATGAGCGACTGAAATTGGACAGTTTGGCCTATATTCCATTCCTGCATTTTTTCAGGCGAAATGAATCCTGGGATATGGTGGACCACAAAGGATACACCCGACATCCTTCAACTCTGGGGAAAAGGAGCCACATTTGGTGGAGTCTTCTAATTTGGACAGCCTTCGTCGCTGTGACGTAATTGCTACAAATGCAGTCTTTGAAGCATGCTACCCTTGAATTTGGACACGGGAAGTACCTTGATTAAAGTGTCACAAAGGTCACAATAACTTTGTGACGCAAGAAAGTAAAGAAAGCTTTGAGCTCACTTTTGAATCTTCTAGACTTTGGTCATGATACCCTATTGCAATACAGCATCTGTGCTATGCAATACTGGCATCATCTGAAGCCATTCATTATTAGCAAATTAAGTCCTTTGTGCAGTGTGTTCTTAACTTTGTTTTCTTATGAAGTCTAGATTCTACTCACTGTGTGGAAAGTGTGCAGTTTGTGTGTTTCGCCAAAATCTGAGACACTGAATTACTGCTCTTTATTGTGAATATTTTAATTCTGACATTAAAAAGTCTCAGACAAATGTTTTCTTTAGCAGTTATATTTTATACCATACACCAACACAAATGTAACACTTCTTTTTCCCCGAGGCATTAAAGACAAAACAGAACGAAGACAATTAGGTGCATGTAGCTTATAAAGTGACCGTTCAAAGTCACTTTAAAAGAGAAAAACAAACAAACAAACAAACAAACAAACAAAAAACAAACCCGGGGTTATGATATTACTTAAAGCAACAAACTCTTACATTTACTTGGCAGTGATTTTATTTCTCCAATGTTCCAATCTAGAACCACAACTCTACACCTGCCTGGTGAGGATAGAGCACCTAGAGTCACGCCTTTCAACATCCAAACAGTGCGAGTCATTCAGCAAATAAGTATCAAGTTCAATGTGCTCACAGGTTTCTTCACTGCTTATTTTAGGTCTTGAAAGACATTAATCAACATGGTAGAAGTGAAAAAGTTGGCATCACAACTTTTTCACTTCTGCATAACAGCCAGAGCTTTCTTCCTTCAGCCCAAGGCCAGGATAGAGAGGCTGAGTGAATACTGTGCACACTTTGTGAAGCAGAGTCATGGTGTCAGAGATGCTGTAAAACGACAGCGTACCTGACCTGTAATCCAGGTACACGCCAATCTGAGAGGTACGAGGACCTGACACCGCCTTGGCTACTCAAGTTATGTCTGAAAGTATATCCTTTTGCAGAGCACTCCAAACACCAGGACTTGTCATTCTTCCCAAATTCTGAGTCGAATGATGTCCGGCTGATGTTTTTGTAAGACGCTGCCACCGACCAGGCGCCACCACTCCAACTGACCTCCCAATAGCACCGCCCTGTTAAACCCTCTCTGCACAGCACCTGCTTCACACCTCCAAACCTGTCCGAGTGAGATAAATGAAAATGCTCATAGTAGCTACTTGTCACTCGTTGAGAATCTTGTGAAAGGTCAAAGTATTTGTTGACCGAGTTGGCATCCAGTGTTAGAGGACAGTGATCTGATGGACAAGCAAACCAGGAATATCATCAGCCTTCTAGTATTTAGTAAGTGATTACTGCTTTGATATACTGATATACTTACAGCACAAAAACTCTTCTCTGGTCTTTGGCACAGGTGGCAGCACAACTTCTATACCAAAAACTGATAGGAACAAAATAAATAAATAATACTGGATTAAGTGGAATCAAGTGGATGAATATTTCTCTCAGGTACCTGTTGCAGAGATCTTGGGCCATGTGGTCTCCAGAAGCTTCTTCATGTCATCTCTCAGCTGAGTCAGACATTCGGTCATGGTTTCCACTGAATGTTTAGGATGAACAACAGCGCCTGTTGGCAAGTCTGGAGATTCACATGAGATGGAGAGAGACTGGAAGAGCTGGAAATAAAAAAAAAATGTAAAAAATTTTTAAAAAAAAGGAACAAAAGTTATGTTGAAATTTAATTTTTGAACATATAACATATTTAAATAAAAACATTTTATGTGTAACTATAAAGGAAAAAGAAAAAAAAATCCCAATAGGATGTGTGCAAAGTTTCAGCTCCCTGCTTTTCTCAAAAAAGTATTTCTACAATAGAAGACTTGTTCTAATTTGGCTCCATCAGTATCGGCTCTCAGGCTACATCCACATGTACACGGGTATTTTTCAAAATGCAGATTTTTCTATGCTTGGCACCACATTATTGTTTTAGTGAAATTAATTTCTACATTTGTACAATGGTGGACTGTC